ATAATTTTTTGCACGTGCAGAGCGCACCTTTGGGGGCCACCAGGAGATGGATATGCTCAATAACTATGCTGGAATGCGTTCTGAGTGGCCTGTGTAAATTTGGCACTTTGAGCTTGCCAGCGCTACCCGCCCTACATACAGGGTGTTGCAGCTAAATTGGGAATTTTTCCCGCTTACACTTAAAGTGGCATAACTCAGTAGAATGAAGAGACAGAGCTTTCAAACTTTGAACGTGTATTGACGCACATGTTCTCTACCCTCTCACTCAATGTGGCCACCATGAGCCTCCTTCACCATCTCCAGGCGGCGTCGGAACGCGCCGCACGCGCGCTGAGCCTCCATAGGATCGATGCTGCTGGCTGCCTTCTTGATGGACTTCTTGAGGCTCGAGATGCTGTCATGGGCACGTGCGTTGGACCTCTCCTCAATCGCGCTCCACATCCAAAAGTCGCACGGATTTAGGTCGGGTGAGTTTGGAGGCCACGTATCCTTTGGGACATACAGAGGGATCTTCCGACTAAGGAAATCCTGCACCCTCCGGGAAGCATGAGCTGGAGCCGAGTCCTGTACAAGTGTGACTTTCTTCAGGTCGTAGTACTTCGCCATCCAGGGCAAAAGCACTTCTTCTAGGATGGCCAGATACTCCTCTGCGCCGATTCTTTCTCCAGCAGGTATGAAGTGAGGGGGCATGACGCGACCGTCGCTCGCGACGGCTCCGAACACCATCACAGAGGCTGGATTTTTGCTTATCATCACTGGTGGAACATCACCGGGGTTCGAGGCGATGACTCTTGAGTTCCGGCGGTTGGCAACTTCGTCTACCACAAACTTCTTTTCGTCCACAAAGACTCTCACGTCTCCTCCATGGTTCTTGAGCTGGTTCAGAACCATCGGGACCCTCTCCTTCCGTAACGCTTTTAGACGCTCCGTCAGAAGGTTCTGCCGTTTCCTACTATACGACCTCATCCCGAGGTTCTCCTTGACAGCCCTGCTAATGGTGCTTTTGCTCACCCTTCGGTCTCGCGCTAGCTTACGCATTGAGACACCTGGTTTGGCCTCAATAGACCTTTTCAAGCCCGCGAGAAACCGAGGATTCCGTTTGCGGTCACTTCGCGGCGCATGGGGACGTCTACTGACATCTCCTCCACCGTCCATAGTAGCGACAGTGCGATATACCGTAGACTTCGGGTATCCTGTTGCGATAACGATCTCTTTCGCGCTTTGTCCAGCGCGAACTAATTCAGCAACTGTACATCTACGCTGTTCCTCCATGACTGTTATCGGTTTTCGTGCATCAAAAATATTAGCACGTGAAAGAGCATTGTTGAAATAGTATCATGTCAAATTTTCAGCCATATCCTCCAAATAACAAAATTGTGATTAGGTTACGAACTTTGTCCCAATTTAGCTGCAACACCCGGTATGTTACACCTGGAGTGCAACATCAAAAGGTTTGCACGTGCACAGCACGTGCACCGTGTACCCCAGCACGCCTATTTGTACAGCACCTTAAAGGTAGACTGCCACCTTTTTTCCACAAAACGGTTTTCACTAGAGCTGAGCCACCTATGTCCCAGACTGAAGTCGGTTTTCCGAAATTCGAACCCGTTTGCGAGAAATCGGAGACCAAAGTTCAGTTTGATGCCATTTTTTTAGTCCAAGAAAACCGACATCTCTACTGTTTATCGATAACTTTGAAACATTAATTTTCTTATCTTTTGGTAAATATATGTCAAAACTTTGATTGTTTCGAGATCAGAGAAGAATTTTGGAGTGTCAAAATAAAAGTTAAACTTATATATTCAGTAGTTCATTTTTTTCCAAAAAAGTGTGGGAAATGGGGTTTAACATGGGCCAGACCCATTCCAAATGAGCCATGATTTTTGAATGTTTTACGAACTTAAATGCAAAATAAACTAAACATGGCCAATTTCTTGTGAAATCATATATTAGTAAATCATAAAATACCTTACTTTTTCAAATAAAATGTAATAATCTTATGACCTTGAAGTCTAGTGGTGTGTAAACATTGTCGCTAGACATTAACCGATTGATAATTGTATGATAATCGACAATTTTTTTCGCGATTCACGTGATGATACTTTGTCAGGTGAATTATAAAATTTTGTTTTGTCCAGGGAATAAATCATAGGCCGATCTGAGAAAACTTTTTGAAGGTGGCAGTCTTCCTTTAAAGCGCGTGTCCAGTAGTGTCAGTGTGCCAAATTTGGTGTGCCTAGGTCAAGGTTTTCCGGAATCGGAGGATGCCTCCTCAAAACATGTTTTTCGCCACTAGCGCGTGCATTCCGCACCCCCTGATGCCGAGCATACCATATGTTAGTGGTCCAACACTGGGACATGTGACCTGTGAGTTTGGCACCTGTGCCGCCCTTCGTTTGATTTGAAGCGTCGCTTAAAGGTTTTTGTCCTTTGTAAGTTTGTCGGCACGTGGCACGCGCCATGTGACACCGGGTGACATGTGACATCCATCATCACCTGCCTCAAGGAATTACCCGGCGAACGGTACCACCAGCATCTCGATCCGATCATCCGTTTGGACGCAATTCTAATTGTATTGGCTCGATGACCTTCCAGAGCACGGTTTTTTGGCAACGTAAAATGGCGCCTTGTCGGCTTCACTATCTTCCATAGGAGGTCCATTGGGATTGTCAGTCCAGTTTATTTATACGTTCGTGACTCGGACAAATTGACGTAGCGCTCTCTATACCGTACTAGCCACTAATGCTGTTATTTTATGGTGCCCATAAACTACCACCCCCTCAAGTATCGTAAGAAGTTCGGAAGGAATAAAGGCAATGTGGCATTTTGTTAGCACATCGATGCGCTAGCCACTAAGTCACTGACGACTGAATATGTCATGCCAAATTAATGTTTGTTGTGATGACCGATAAGGCACGCCGTGTGCCAGTCTGTCATTAAATATTTAGTCCGTTGTTTTATTTTCATGACAGAGTGCGGGAGCATAAGTATATATTTGGTGCAGTTAGGGGCGGATCAGGAGACCATAGTAATATTCCCACACCATTTATTACAGGGACACACCACAGCACAGCTTATTAGCCAACAGAACATAATCAGTGCCGAACGTAACCCACAATCCACTAGCCAGTGGTTTCAGACGCCAGAAAAGCAATCCCACGGCAACTGCTTTCGGCATCTATTTGGGCAGTCGATTTAATCAGCCGAGAACTAATGTTTGTCTGTGTAGGTACATGTATACCCGAAAGTGCATGCATAATCCAATTAGCTGACCTGTCCTCCGTGATTTACGCAGAACCACTGTTTAAATGTCAGCAATGTTTGCAATTCCAATGCTCTCTGGATTATTGCTGGTTTCAGAACTTCAATAACACAGTGAAAGTTTACCTTTTACGGCCGACTCTTTTCTTGAAACTTAACTAGAAGGCCACCGATCAAAATTTAACTAGAAGCCCACCAACGTCCGTCATTAATGGAAAAGGGCGGCGAGTTTTACAGAGAGCACCTGCATGCAGCACACGTCGCGTGCCTTGGGTGTTGCGCCCGGCTGTGAACTGTAAGGGTGTACTCACTACTCACCGTGAGTGTAATTACACGGCCCGTTGTCAGTGCGGTGCCCGGGTGTGGAGGGTGCACCCACCGTGAGTGTAATTACACGGCCCGGTGTCAGTGCGGTGCCCGGGTGTGGAGGGTGCACCCACCATGGGTGTAATTACACGGTAGTGCGGTGTCAGTGCGGCGCCCGAGTGTGGAAATGTACCCAACCCGGGTGTAATCACACGGCAGTCTGGTGGCTGGCACTGAGGCGCCGAGCTACCATGGCGATGAGAGATAACATCGGACGGCCACCACTCGGTCTGGTCACCGCCAACTCTGGATTCTGAACGCCCCCGAGCCCGCAGCGGCAGAAGACACGTGCAATATGCCGTATGTGGCGGCAGGCTTTTCTCTTAGATTGTTCCAAATCCAGCTAACCATGATTTTACAATAAAATTTTGCCGTTTATTGCTGCATCAATAGTCGTAGATCATCGCTGAGTTTGACCTATAGCTTACAGAAATAACCGTAGCCAGCGACCCCGACTGGTCCGCCGCGGTGACTGCGAATGTGAGTTGTGACAGGGAGTGTGCAGCACACAGCACGGGCTGCAATCACGGAACGGGCGGCGCCATGGGGTGCAGTATGTGGGGCTCTATTGATCCTGAGGGGAGGGGGCACACGACAGGGGTCAGCGGTCACATGACGCATGGCGCATGTGGGTATACACCGCACCCAGTGGGTGCCCGAGCCAGGGGTGGTCAGTCGGGGCGGACTGGCCAGGCTCAGTCGGACTGGGAATCGAACTACTAAAAAACTTGGTCACTAGTAGAACTAGTAGTCACTAGTAGTAGAATCGAACTAGTAGACTTGGTCAGACTAAGTGAACAAGCCACACGGCACAAGCTCAAAGCTGACTGACTGAGGGATTAAACCAAACTTGGTCAGACTGGGCGAAAGAACTAGACTGTCAGATTGGATGAACGAACCTCACTCGATTAGATTGGGCTCACAAACCAGACTGTCGTACCGGGGATCCAACCGTACTGTCAGACAAGGCGAACGAACCGTACATACATGTCAGACTGGGCGCCCGAATCAGACTCGGTCAGACGGGGACCAGACGGACTCGGTTTGACCGGCATTTGCGGTTGTCTGGCATCATCACTATCCGTAAAACGTTTTATTATTTATCTTTGGGGGAATGCTGCCTAGACTAGAATTTTTGGTTGACTCGGTGAACGATTTTTTTTTCTCTCATGAACAGGAAATGTCGGTTCGATGTGAAAAAATAATAGAGGCTTGATTGTGCTTCAGCTATTTTTTACGCCGATAAATTGTACCAGCTGGTACAAATTGTCGGCGAAAAAAATAGTTGAAGTCCATTTTTCGAAGTCCAAACCTGTCTTCTAGGCTTCTAGTGAATGCATCGCTCACTAACACCGGGTGTTTACTGTTCACAGATGCTGGCAGTAAGGGCAATTACCACTTACCGGCTCTGACTGCGCACGACCGGGTCAGCCGGCGTCAGTTTCGGGCGGCCTCCCTCGACAAACGTGAGTAACCCCGCCAGCGGCCTTCCTCGATAAACAGGAGTAACCCCACCAGCGGCTCTCTCGTCAAAGGCCTCCCTCGGCAAACCAGAATAACCCCGACGAGAGGGTTATTTGACTTTGCTAATAATGACTTTGGTGAACGGTCAACAACTCCGATGGTCGAGTCTTGTCAAACAGAACGTCGTAAACGGACTCATAGCTGATTTAAGCTTGTTCTGGTGTCCCTAATATGAAGTAGTTCAACCGAACCACGAACGTTTCGATCGAAGTTCGGCCTTGTTAAGTGTTAAAACTGTTCATGTACGATAATTCTTCTAATCTCAGCTTCCCAGAATAAGTCGACTGTTTGACGCGGACTTCAGTGTGCCCTGAGGCTCAGTGCTGGCTGTCGCGTGCTTCGTAATGCGGTGTAATCCTGTCGTGATTGTACCGTCCTTCAGGTAACGTCCGTTCCACCGCAGCGGCACGCGTCACCCCGTGAGGTGACTGTCTCCGTCCCCTCCCTCCCCCAGTACCGGAGGAGGGTGAGGAGATGTTAGCCGCGGCGCTCTCCAGCCGTAACGCGCACAGCGGGCCGCGGGAGCGCACCCGGCACCCGGTGGAGTGCGTGCCGCGGCCGGGGGTGGGCCACCCGCTGCCGGAGCTGGGCTCGGCGCCGCGGCCGGCCGACGTGCAGCCTCTCAGCGTGCAGCGCCAGATCGTGGAGGCGCTGCGGCCGGCCGGCGAGCGGGCCGCGCGGCAGCCGCCGCCGCCCTCGGCCGGTCACCTACTACAGCTGGTGCTCTCCCAGCCGGAGGACGCCGGAGACCTGCACCTCAGCGACCTGGAGAGCAGCCAGAGGATGACCAGCGGGCCGAGCACCGCGGCGCCCTCCTCCGCCGCCTCAGCCACCGTCACGCCAGCCGACAGCGAGCCGGAGGCCGAGTCCGCAGACGACTTTGGGTGGTCGCTGTTCAGGAAGAAACGCGGCATCCCGGCCACCACGCGGCCGGCGGCGGGTCGCGCGGCGGACCGAAAAGCCGATCGGCCGCGGCTAGGGGTGGCTGACGACGCGTTCACCAGCGATCCGGCGGCTGTTTCGGCGGCCTCCGGGCCGAGCGGCGGAGGCGACGCGATGGCGCGGCTGCACCCGGACGCGGCGCCGCTGCGGCGGCCGGTGGTGGCCCGCCGCGGCCGCAGCAGCTCACCGCGAGCTCCGGCCGAGCCACCCGAGGTGGCTGAGTACGCCGAGAGTCGGCCGAGCAGCGCGGTCAGTGGGACCGGGCCGGAGGAGGAGGAGCGGCCGCGCTCCCAGGAGCAGCAGATCCTGGCACTGCTGGCGCGGCTCACGGAGATGGCTGATAATGGTGAGTGACGAGAGAGAGAGAGAGAGAGAGAGAGAGAGAGAGAGAGAGAGAGAGAGAGAGAGAGAGAGAGAGAGAGAGAGAGAGAGAGAAAGAGAGAGGGGAGGGGGCTGAGTGCTGAGCGACGATTACAATGAATGCTTAGGGAGGATAACGATAAAGGTTTTGGAAGGATAGCGATGAAGGTTTTAGGAGAATGACGGCGAACGCTTAGGGTGCCTGAATACCGATGAGTGACTAGGAAGGATTATTACCTCAGTTCTCATGAACCATCTAGCTTTGTCTGCATTGGGCTGTGTGCACGACAGCCCTGGTATTCAGGGCCACGCCATTTCGAGTTACAGGCGTAAGTTGAACGCCAAACTGACGGATCGAGCCACAGACTTTTAGAGAAGTCTGTGACTTGCAAATGACTCAGATGCCTGTTATAATCCTAGTCTTACAAAACAGCTCTGCTACCTCCCAGCGATGAAAATCTAGTGCCATAGTGGATATCAATCTTTCAGATAATATTCTCATAACGTAATTAAACACGAAAGCCGCTCGTGCGCGGGCTAAGCTGACAAGAATGGCATTCCGTCATCGCTTGCCATCGCGAGTAATGCGGCTGTCTGCTGTGCAAAGACGATTACTTAGTGAATAAAGGTCAAACTACGGCTTCAGGGCGGTGACATTAATTCCATTATTGACCATATCCAACTACTCAACAGGATGGGGTACCATCGCAATGAGCCATTCCGATCGATTCATTTACCACCCACACTCAACTAATCTCCCTATGTTAACTCCATCACCATGGTTTTTACATGCAATGTTTTCAGCCATGGCCTTTGTCATTTCATGTAGGTACCTTCTTCATATGCCTGCATGTTCACAAAACAGAGCGGTGTCTGGTGATAATGCGTTCAGTCCATTGAAGCGAAACATCAATGCTGTTTTTATGCCACCAAACACCGACAATGGGGTTCATTGTCAGGCGGGACATGGCCTTTCTCTCCGGAGTGTCGCCGCTCTGGGAAGCTCTGTTCACGCCGACAGGTGGGCTGTCTTCGGAGGTGTATGTAAATACAGTCGAGCAGGAGGTGGTTACAGACATGTAGTTATGTCAGTCTGCGACTGCTGAGCTACTACATATATCGGCAGTTGCCAAGGCGTGTGTTATGAGATGAATGGTATCAAAGTATTTGATGGTGAACTGACCTCTAGGTAATGCTCTTCCTGTGCATTTCAGTTTAGGTGAACTTTCCTGGGTCCGTTGACCGTTAGGTATGTAGACCACCAATTACCTCCTAAACCAAGCTCTACACCAAGAGTCACTTTCAAAGTCTCATCAATATGATAACCAATCAATGGCCAAAACTTGCCCCATGACAGGAAACTGACATGTTGCTAATGGCGTGTCAACGCTGCTAAAGGCACAGGCACGTATTTTGATACACTGACGACACTGATAAATGCACCTGTGGCATAGGACAACAGGGAGGCTTCCATCGTTCACGGACCGGTGAATTTACACGGTCCAGGCAGCATTGTTCGCCGTTTCACTGGCTAATGGCTAACTGTTGATGGTCTTAGTCTAGTACTTATGGTCGCAGCTCACTGACGAGGAAGTCGGCCATTTAGCGGCCAAACAGGTCATATGCTAAACTAACATGGGAATTGTGGCCTTGTGGTAAATTATATAGATAGATGGAGACGTGTTTGGAGTGCTTACGGTGAAAAGGCGAAATGTCCGCATACGAACATTGTTCTGTAATCAATGGGACCTTCTGATCAAGGACTTGTCTTAGCGGCCATTATGATAAGCATTTATCAAAAGGCTCAAACTGTTATGAGAACACATGCAAAATTTGGCTTCAACGAATGTTACTTTCCAAAGCAATGACCCACCTTTATTGAATTAACGCATTCTGATAACTATAGCGAGTCAGGCAGACAGTCTGTCTAGGTGTAGACTGTTCCGCAAGACAGCTCCGTACGGCGGCACAGCATACCCAAGCAGTGTGCTCCGAGAGCCATGCCACGTATTTTTCACAGTTGTTCAGCGTTCACGTCGTCTTGCTTCTCTGCTGTCTTCTGCTCTCTGGGCGCGACCAGTGACGCAGAGACCCACGAGACATGACTAGTGTAGCAGAGATTCACGAGACATGAGAGACGCAGTAGCGCACGAGACATGACCAGGAAAGATCTGCGAGACCCGTCCAGTGACGCAGAGACGCCGTCAGCGACCGGTGTAGAGATGCTGACGTCACGATATTTAGGCTCGATTTAATCATCAATATCTAGACAGCGGAAGCAAATGGATGCAAGGAGGAGTGGCCCTTACATGACTCGCTTGGATGGGGTCGGGGATCTGCGATGGGAATTCCAAGGCTTCGCACTTCGCAGTGGACCTGGATAAAAAAATATGGACGCTTCACGCTACCGAGGCAATTTCATAAGCTTTTGCTAAATCAACATTGTAACAACGTTTCACAATGACTGTGTAGGCAACTGCTCCATACGAACCATGCAGATGATGAATTTCTTTCCATCGCCTCTCCCTCTGCCCAGGTGCGGATAACGCTGAGGTGCTGACATCTGTTGTCGACCTGTATCAACTGCTGGCTGATACGAACCACCTGGGTCGAGGCTCCCAGCACCGGATCGCCACTCTGAAGACGATATTCCGCTTTGTGGACCGTCAGCACCCGCGACTTTTGATGCAAATTTCTCGAACCATTCTAGCGGTAAGTGACGGGCAGGGGTTCGGACGGGCGGGTGCGGTGAATTTTGTGTATATCAGGGGAACCAGTCTGGGTGAGGGGCAGTGGCAGGAGGTCTGCTAGCCACAGTGCACTTTCCTGTACCCTTAGGAGTGTCTCCAAAATCAAAGGTCATTGACCGCGTTCTTGGGAACGCTTAAAGGAAAAGGGCCTCCTTCGTGAAATATGAAGATATCGTTGTTTTTCATTTTGACATTATTATTTTTCATTTTCTTTTTAAAACTGGTGCCAGAAGTGCACAATTCGCGAAAAAGTATTTAAAACTATTTAACATATTGGTACTATGTTGATACTCTCTACGGCACCTACTGTATGATGGCATAGCGATGACGTCACACTCAAGCCAATCAGCGTTCAGAAGACAGACTCGTCGGATTGTGTCAGATAAGCTGATTGGTTAAAGCTGAGCTGGTTGGAGCTGATTGGTAAAAAACCAAAGCCTCGCCGCGGGTGGCTGTATTGTCGGATAAGAACGCATTCCTGGGATAAGGACGCATTCCTGGCATATTTTCTTTTAAAATTGCCGATAACTACGAATGGAGGCCGAAATCGGCCGTATGGAGGTAGACAGACAGGTTTTCGGACACAGGCTACAAGATGGCTATCTCAGTTTCAATCCCCATGTTAAAGGTGGCCCTTTTCCTTTAACATGACGAGATGCTTTTACTCTGGAATGCATTAATGTAGTGCAACGGCTTTGTACTGATGCTAAAAGCCCTAACCTGACCATATATCCTGATGCTTTCAGTTGCAAGTGAGTGGGAAGAACCTAACCAGCGTATGCAAATTGGTCTTCAAAGTCGCCCAGGACGATGAAAATGACGCTCTCTTTCTGGAGGGCAACTTTCTCGGTAGGTTTGAGCTACACCCGGCAGTAACTGAATGACATCGTGTGAGCTGACATAGGCACTCGCTGCGTCCACAGATAGTGCTTGTCCGTATTCTCTGATGTATTTCCACAACTTTGATGTGACCAATCTATATTAGTAAAGCCAATTACTATGACAGCAAAGCTGACAACTATTTTCATATCGGCTCTGTCCTACGGAGACTATATGAAAACAGACGATACCACCCGTGTAGAGAAGCCAGCCTATATGAGCTGTCGTTCTTTCACTATATAGCAAGTCTGAGAAAGAATGACAAACAGTGACGGAGACGCCAGGAAACCTCAGGTGCCCTTAGTTACTGGAAACTTTTGCCACACTTCAGGAACGTCTTAGCTTGATTAACGTTATTTTTTTTTGCAATTAGTGAAATCAACAAAGTTTTTTTCCGAAATCCATAGTGATATGGACGCAGCTATTTTCTCTCGAGTAAATGTTTACGAGTGCACATGAGTCGTTCACTACTAATTATTACAGCATGGGACCCGGCCGCATGGACCAATGATCGACCGTATATCACCTGATCAGTCGAACCCGAGTCCTAGGGGAGCCAAGTGGGCTGGAGTGGCTCCTGGTGACACAGCCCAGTTGATTGTCATGGGTCAGTCCGCTCAGGCTGGTAGTAATTGCGTGTCTGCTAAGGCCAAGGGTCACTGGGTCCATACCCAGTTTAACTAGTCTAACTAGTTACTGTCCAGTCATGGATTATCGTTAGTTAGCACGGAATGCGTGGTTCCCGTGCCTGGCGACCTGCCCGTGCTGTGCCTAACTCCGTTTGGCCCGCGCGTCACCATCAGAACTGCTTCTGGAGATTATCGGACGCAGCAGCCCCCTGGACGACGGAGAGGCGTGTGTCTACAGTTACGGCGCACTCAAGTTTCTGACGATGAATCCGGCGCTGGTAACGCGACTCATGAGTCTGGGCATCCTAGACCTGGTGGTGCTTCATCTGAAACTCATCACCACAAAGGTACAGTGCATTTTATGTAGGATGGTGAGTCCTACTGGAAGTGGGGATGGACATTGGCAATGCGCTATTGAGGGAGGTAATCATAACGCCTTACTATTTTGGTGATGCTCGAATCGGTGTAGATTACCACACAGAAGTCTGTGCAAAAGAGGTTTATGATTATCACATCAGCATGGCAGACAGAACTCGTCATACATCGCTCCTGATTTATCCCCGTTCTCCCACCTCTGCACCTCAGAAGCTGGAGAGTAAGCGCGTCTCGGAGCAGACCGGACACGCACTGTACCAGCTCACCGGGGTGCTGCGAAACCTGGCCAATGTGGACTCGACGCTGCCGCGGCTGGTGAGCTCCGGCGCCACGGCGCAGATCTCCGGAGTGCTGGCTCTCTTCAGCGCCGACATGGACGTCATCTCCAACGTGGCCAGGATCCTCAGGTGAGGATGGTGGCAGAGGTCAGGGTTCTCAGCTGAGGATGGTGGCAGAGGTTAGGGTTCTCAGCTGAGGATTAGGTGGGATAGTGGATGGTCATGATCCGCAGGTGGGTTGTTACGTGAGGCCGAAATCCTTACGTGCTGCCCTTGGTAAGAATCCGTTGAGGTTAGTGTGGGGTTCATTGGGTCCTCAAGTGAGGCTGGCGAGGTTTTGGGAAGAGACAGGAGGTGGTGGTTGGCGTGGGAGGCTGGTCACTGGGGGTGCGTTGTGTGGACCTCTGAACAGTGTGTGAGGTGTGGACTGTGGATTGTGGATTGTGGAGTGGTGGCGCAGGCCGCCGAGTCTATTGGCAGATGTGGGTGGAACGACAGGCATTTGCGGAACCACTGGTCCATGAGGTAGGCGACAGAATCAGTTATACCATTTCCTTGCGAAACGAAAACCACATTTAGCTTGTGACTGTGACGTAACTTCGTTCCACCTTTAATTAGCCGCCACCTAATTAGCTTCTTTTGACTCCTGGCACCCTGACGCTGTGAAGAATGTCGCCGAGTGCGATTAACACACACAAACACCCACCCACACCCCCACACGTGTCTACCGTGTGGTATTGAGCGGTCTTCGTCGCCAAGGTCGCAGCCGTCGGCACGCGTGTGAACCGCGTGCCCCCTGGGGCGGTTCGACAGGTTCAGCCGGCTCCCTCGGAGCTCCCCGCAGCCGACTGCCGGGTGACCTTTCACGATATCGTCCGCATGGGGTCATTTGAGCCCAGAACATCCGTGGAAGCCGAACAGAACCAACCAGCCCGATTACACAAAGTCATACAGGCATTTAATATTAACTTATGCCAGCTTATGCGTGGCACGATTATTGACTTTTCGTACTATTTTGATGTCCTACTTGCTTTGCTATTGTGGGTTCTGCATGGAACTGAGGCAAAAGAAGTTCGATGGATTTTTTTACGCCGACATTACAGGTCAGAGAAAAACATCCATAGCCTGTGTGTCTGGTATAGTTCTTAGCCAAATTAAAACGGATCACGACTGAAATCCAATCAGCTAGAATGCGTCACATAAACATGTTTTCGGCGAAACACCCGCAGCTATGATCCATTCGCGGCGTTCCGATCAGTTTATCACTATCGGTGATTGGTTGAACGCCCACCTGATATTGTCGGAATATTGAGAATATTGATATATGAACGCCCACCTGATATTGTCGGCGTCGGCGATAGTAGTATGGCGATCGGGTGCGTCCGTGCCGCTGTAACAGTCGTTTATGGCGTGTCAACATTCATACGCCTTCAACTTGACCCCTTCTGGCCAATAAGGAGCATCGGCGCTGGGCGGGGTATATTTTAGGTCGGACCATTTTAGTCAGGTCGCTGCCTAAATCGATGGTCACCAAGCACGCGCCAGTCCTGCAGTCACGCCCCTGTTATGGTTATGGGTGCTTATTATTCACGTGATGGGTTTGCACACGCTCAATATTTACACGATACGGAGTCGGGTATTTATGCCGGCGAACCTGACATGGATTTAATTGCGTTAGATAGCCCACTGTTTTTCTTTCACTGAACATCATTTTCGCCGTGTTTTATCAATTGCAAACATCTGAATATGAAAATATCGTTTCTTTCAATTGATCAGCGACTCGCATCTCGTCATTGCTGGGTTCCAAACGAGAAAGACGCGAACATAACTTACCTCACCCCACGTTACCGACCTTGAGAAGTTGATTTATGCCATGGCCACCCACCTTCTAGCTCAACCCGGTGACTACTCTACTCCCTCCCCGCTTCCTACCTTCTCGTTCCACCCACCACTCACTACTCAGTCGAGTAGGTTTTACACCCTGGCCGTCCCTTAACGACCCCGCGGCGTTCCCGGCCCGTTCCGGCGGCCACGGAGCCGCCCGTTGCGATGGCGATGGCAGTGTTTCGGTCTGTCGGTCGGGCCAGCGGCTCGATAGCCCACCGACACGGCTCCAACTGTAGGCCGCTGCCGCTCCGTGCACGTCGCAGCCGTACGAGGAGTGGCACAAGTACGATACCGCGTGGTATACATCATTTGTACTCGAGGCTTGGCTGGGACCCTACAGAGAGGGGTGGTTACGTACAGCGGTGCGCGGGAAATCCAACACCAATTGCTCGTAACAACTGCTCTGTCGTAAAATACCTGATTTCTATTCGTTTACTTTCGATCGTTTACAATATTACACATGCGTGCTCAATGTTCATACTGGCCGTTTTCACGACGGAACTTTCGCGGTGGAACCTATTTTATACCTGGAAAGTACCAACCCTTTAAGGCCTTAGAATCCTTACAACTAAAGTATTTTGCCTTCAAAATATTTTTAGAAGTTGTAATCCAGGTGATTTTGGCCATGAAATCGCTTATTTATTTAAAAACAAGTCAATTCTCGGTTCTAGTAGCCCACCGTTCGAATATGAGGGATCAAATCAGCCTGGCAGCTAGATACCCGGCTTCTAACCCGGTTTACATAGCATATTTGAGGAGGCTCTAGCTCGTTAATTTGGCGATAATTTCGATGTCGTGTCTTCAAACATTTAGAGGGGATCATTTTGTTAATTGTTAAGCACCATTGGCATCTTTTGCAACATCACAGACGGAGATATAAGCTTGCAACAAACCCTATGTAAACGCGTCTTCTGTTTCACCGGCCCGACGCTACGCGCGTGACCGGGCGCAACAAATCCGCCGCCGCCTTAGCAGTGGCATGCAGTGGCATTGACTTCCGCCGTCTGCTGCGGCTCCAAAGCCAAGCCGGCGTGGAATTGGGAGAGCTCGGTCACCCGCAACTGGCAGCTCAGTATATTTCCTTATCATTGTACTGATATGCCAATTTCATAAACGTGCTTACGCTTTAGGTTTACGTGAGTGGTAAACCCTTAAATAAAATAAATTAATGTAATACTTAATAGAAAAACAGCAAAGTAACGGCCCACTTATTCAAAAGGTAGAAAACCTACTACAAAGAACTCCTAAAATTCCTGAGGCATCAAAGGAAACTACTAAAATTCCTGAGGCATCAAAGGACCAAACAGGCATCTATTAGGTACCCGCTATTCCGTCGTGAAAACGGCTACTGTACATATAAATCAATCATACGTCCACAGGGATAGTTGCCCAGTGCAACTTTTTCTGTATCCCATGGACACTAGGGTTGTTCAAAAAAACCAAATTTTGGAAAAGTATACGGGCTCATGGCTCATGTGGTGCGGTATTCTTTTCTGAGTCCAATGATGCCTTTTTTTCTGAAAAGTATTAACTGTTAGGGGCTCCTCAAACGGCTTAAAGAGGACCATGTTACGCCCGCCGACCGGCCGGTGTCCATAAGGGCGAGAATTCGACGCCGCGCACGGGCGGCAGCGCCTTATCGGCACCGCGCGCCACGACATCTGCCGGGCGGCCGGCCGGGCGGTGGGAAGTTTTAAGTGCGTGGTCTTTATCACGCGGTTGGGGTGCGCTATCCCATGTTTTCGGGGCGGAAAGTTTCAGTGCAGCATCGGTGCGTCTGCCACCGGGTGGTCTGTGTCGATGGTACAGAAAATAAGTCAAACAGAGCTAGAAAAGAGTGAGTGATTCTGGGTAGTTGCCTCGAAGCAATCCTTTTTAAAAATACAGCTGCCTTCTTTACGTACCGTATCACTTGTTAATTCTTCAAAAAGCAAACTCTGAGCAATAACACACCTCTTTGCATTGCTGTTGACAATTTACGTTAGTTTTGGACGGTAGCTCGCACCCCCAATATGCTGCCGCCCAACTTTATTCCAACGGCGAAACGGCAACTTCGCGAGAATCGAAAATTCACGATATACGTACAGCAGGGGCTGGCAATGCAGTATGCACAAGGACATAATTTAGAGGAGACCCGACAGTCATCGGCCCAAATTTGGAGGTGGCTTTGACGAGCATAGGCGTCACCAATGTCATTATTCAGATACGTTGATATCAGATGCTGGGGCAACAGAATCGACGCCAGGGTTTAACTTAGATTAGCAGGTCGAAAGAAAACATAACATGTCTGGGAATGACAGGGTGGCCACCCTGACAGTGTGACGAAGTGAGACATGAGTAGAGACATTAGCCGGAGTACTTACTCATATAAATCAAGCGCCGTTTATCCAATCCTTCGAGCATAAGCGACGCCGGCAGTCCGGCCAGGGCGGCCGTGCCCACCGATGCCGATCCAGACCCGAATCCAGACCCGGCATAGGACACAGCTCTGCCCTGACGTGACACATTACCCCGGTGTGTCACTCATGGCCGATAGACCAATGCAGGAGCCTTGCCAGCTCCTGTTATACCTACTTCGTTAACCCGCGCCCCACTGGGGGGGCTATTTATAGCCCCCCTCCCGTTTTTCTGCAATAACTTCCAAACCGCTTGACGGATCGACGCCAAACTTTCAGTACCTTCGGCTGCATCAATTTGACACCTTGTGTCAAAATTTGAACTTCGTAGCTACCATAGGTCGGCCGAAAATGACGTCAGAGTGACGTCATGTTCGTCCGATTTCGACGCAAAACATTGAACCACGGCAATCGCTCCCAAGAGCTCAGTTTTTAAGCTAGATCCAATTTCTTTGCATGAAAGAACTCAGAATTGACCGCGCTATCAAACTGCTATCTCGGATTTTCAAAATTTTGAAAATTTCCAAAATTTTATATAATAATATTCAAAATTTATATTTTTATATTTTTTTTCAAAAAGTTTTTGACTTTTCGAAAAAACCGGAATATATGTCACAGAACGCATGATTATGACTAACTCTAGCAAGTTTTAGCTAAATATCTTCAAAAATGGCCAAGTTATACGCATTATTGCAAAAAATTCACAATTATTAATTTTTCAAATCAATTTTTCAGTACGTATTCGGCATCGTACACCAATATAAATGGCACCATCGTGTTTCTGAGCTCAAACTGCATCCAATAGACACCTTTTTTGTTGAAAAATTTCAACTTCAAAATTTGACCTTTTTTGACCTGAAAGTGACCTGACCTAAGCTAAATTCGACTCAAAATGACCTCGAATGACATAGACGACATCCAATTCGAAATCTATGGCCTAAATGGACCATAAAACATGTGTCACGTGACCGACGCATGATATAATATTTTCGTGACCTGTGATGACCTGACCCTGACCTGAAAATCAAAGTACAAGTTTGGTACCCGCAAGGTATCTAGAGCATCTGTTCACGAGTGTGGAAACCAAAAATGAGCCTGATCTGACTTGTAAGACGGCGGCCAGAGCCCAAAATGTGAACAAGCCAAAGTGCTAATAATTTTTACTTTGACCTGACCTGTGACGTCATCGGTGACCTCGAGGTCAATGAAATTAGGTTTCGCTCGACAGTTTTTCCGGGGCTATGAGACGCCGTTTGAATTTTGACGATCGGCCCAGTAGTTTCGGAGTTAGGAGGGGGGGCTATGAATAGCCCCCCCCCCCAGTAGGGCGTGTTATACACAGACCCCAGTGGGGCGCGGGTTAAAGGTAGTGTGCCAGCTTTCTTGGACCGTATGGAGTTAATGGCCCAGATAAGGAGAACCGGATTTTTAGAACTTATCCATACCTTCAAAACTCATGGAAACGTCTTAAATTCTTCAAATTTTGAGTACCCCAGTGCGAAATTCGCCCCGACGGGTTGTCGGTCGTACCCCAACCACATTTCACACCACTATGAACAATAAATGCACACACTGAAATCGCTATTACCGATATGCTCATCCAATCAAGTTTCGATAAACCCGTTCATCATCATCTCCTGCGGTTTCGAACACGCCTGTTAGGTGGCTTCTGATGCTCGTCGAGGTCGGAATTTCCAAATACGCGTGGTGCGTCGGGCCGCGCGCTCTGACTTCGGCCAAGAAAAATGCGTCAGCTGATCATTGTCATTTCTGCCACTTGCGTGTGGTGAAATGGGGTCATAACTTATAAGACGGCTTTTTCATATCAATTATTTTACATAAAATCATATTTCAAACCATAAATAATGTTCGACAGCCAAATAAAAGAAACAATACCAATACGGGCTTACAGTTTAAGGCTCGACATTGTGTTGTCTACGATTAGACAGCTGATAACTCATTCCCGTACGTCGTATGGTCGTAACACTATAATGACCTTTGCTTATTGTCACAAGTGCGCTGCATTCGCGATTGTTGCCCGACGCCTGTTTGCAGGTGAGCCCACTACAGTTGTTATACATATCTAAAAACCGATAAACTTTTAGGCGAAAAAGGCACTATTCCAGGCCCATTTTTGATTTTTTTTGCGATATTAGGTAAAAACAGAAGCTTCTTATCCTAGGAAAAATAACATGGGAAATCTTTCAAAGGTGGCACACTACCTTTAAAACTTCCCACCGCCCGGCCGGCCGCCCGGCAGATGTCGTGCCGCGCGGTGCCGATAAGGCGCTGCCGCCCGTGCGCGGCGTCGAATTCTCGCCCTTATTGATACCGGCCGGTCGGCGGGCGTAACATGGTCCTCTTTAAGCCGTTTGAGGAGCCCCTAACAGTTAATACTTTTCAGAAAAAAGGGCATCATTGGACTCAGAAAAGAATACCGCACCACATGAGCCATGAGCCCATATACTTTTCCAAAATTCGTTTTTTTTAACAACCCTAATGGACACCAGCCATTCCTCCGTCCATTCATCGGTACGCCCGCCGGTCCATCCGTCGACATCCGCGTGATCCGTCACCTATCATCTGTCATCTGTCATCTTCATCCGCCATCCGCCACCCGTTCTTCCATCCCTTCAGGGTTCCACTCGCAGCAGCACTAACGGGTGATAGTTTCTCATTCAGTCACTAGATGGCAGCAGTAGTGTGCGCCTGGAAGTGTAGGCTGTACCGCACTACTTCATCCTCCCGACTAACACCAAGCGGGATAGAGGGAGGGTGGAAATATGGGGCTAAGCTTCGAAATAATCCAATTAATTGATAAATGCTGGCATGATTATGAACTCTGCAATCTACATGGAAAGTTTTTGCACTCGAATGATTGAATGCGTTATTTGCACGACGCTGCACTGCTCTTCACAACGCGGTACAACCAGTGCGAAGTGCAAACATATCCAGCTTAGACACAAACTGGCTGCTTATCTGCTTATGAATTGAAGCCATCGGTTATATCATGCCCCGTTGTCAGTTTGTCCTGGATTATTCCCAATGCGTTCTGTGCTCATATTTTTGGACGGTTCGATGCGGTGGCATTACTGGCCGTTATGCGTTTATTGCATCGTGCATAGGACTTGCATAGGACTATCCATCATCTGGTTTGTTAAATGGCCATCGCCTCGGCACTGCCATTGGATTGAGGTCCTGGAATAGGGTCAGACCATTTGCTAACATCGCGTGCCACATTTACGCAGCTTATTCTGATTTGTGGGCACCGTTCGCGGCACTCGACGGTAGGCATCGTGCTTATTGTGACTTAGACCTCGTACGGCCGTGCCCCATTTTCGTAATGTGGACAGCCGATGGGGACAGAGGGGAGAGCTGACGCAATGTCCTGGCGACGAGCTTCTATGAAACTAGCAAAAACACAGCAACGGAGCTGCTGAACAATTGGGAGCCTCCGTTTTACTCATATGTCAGTTAAAAGACTCTAAGTAAAAATAAGGGTTCTTTTGGGCGTAAAGATGAAATAAGTACAACTAGTTTGCATGAGTTAAGCAGTTTTGATAAATAACGTCGTCCGGTTTTTTATGTAGAACGCGACGGTAAAGTCCCATAGCGTTTGTCGGTGACCTGCGCAGCTTTGACACACTATACGACCACCAGCCCACCACGCCCTGGCGTGTCCTGGTGACAGTAAAGCCACTTTAAGCTACCTCCGGCGCCATGCCAGCGGTCCGACCGTTCCAAACTGCGCCACATTCGTGAGTGTCGTGACGGTGCCACTGCCCTGAACGACCGGCGCCCGGCGGTGTGGCATGCGGCGAGTGAATGTGGCGCAGCACATTAGACACTCAGCTAAGTGTCGTCTGCGGAACACATAGTGCATGATCCGTATGAATATCACCTTGGATGAAAAGCAATATTACCAATAATCGGTTCAACTCCATTACAGACATTCGAGCTGGTCGATTGGTTGTGGGGAAAGCGCCGATAAACGTTCGGTTCCAAGCACTCAACCTGAGATCACTAACTCTCGGCTAGATGCTCAATGCTAACTTCCAGACATCTCTGTAGAATTTAAGCCACACCGATCTTCACTCTGCCAAGCATCCCATGCAGACAGCTCAAATGTCCTCTGTAATGACTCTCGCAGAAATTTCAGCAGAAATTGACCTAGCATCTCCTGCAGACAGTATAATTACCTACATTCTATTAGGTATACATACAAGCATTTGGCCAAACATTGCCGCTGTTGGCTGTACATAGACCAGGCAAACGGATTTGGAGCAGGGTATTCTCTCCGAGCCTCTAAGAAATCTAGAATGCGAGCAACGAACAGTGCTATTTGCAGGGAGGGAGTAGAACATTCATCATTGCTTGACTATGCGTGGTACTGGACTACGTCCGCCAAAGGTTGTGTGATTTACGAGCCATTTATAACTCTGTCAGGGTGGCTTCCGTATCACTAAAGGCATCTTGATTTATCAGATAGTTGTGGCTATTATGAAACACCGTGAAATTTCTCGATCTGGCTATTTCAGTCCTGAGTCATAATTGTCATGCCACCAGCTTTTGTATTTTGTAAGAGCTTCTAGGAAATGTTGTTGCAGACTTGAGCTAGCCGGTAAATAGTTTATGCCATCGTTGCGTTGATTGCACATAGTGACGTTAGCAACATACCACCAAATGAAATGCTTAGTTCTTTGCCCGAATCTCTAACACGTTTCTTGTGCCTGTAAGGTATGCGAGAACATCTTTGACGTTCAGCATTGGTCGAACGGGTCTAATGGAAGCTTACGAACTTGTAGTCTGTACCATAACATATAATTGACGCTTTACTCAAACGATCAGCATAACGAACGTTGCTATACTAATCCACTGGCATGCCCGTTTGCCTATTTGGCAGCATTATTTCCACACACGACGAATGCTGCGAGCAGCTGGTGGAGAGCGACCTCAGCTTCCGAGCCTGCATCAAGGTGCTGAAGAAGTACCCCGGCGCCAACAACATCGTGGTGCGGATGGGCTACGCGCTCGGCAACCTCATGGCCCGGTCAGAGTCTGCTAGAGTCAAGGTGAGTCGCACCCAGGAGTCGCTAAATGACTCGGGAGGCGCCGCTACTATGCTCAGTGCCCAACGAGGCTTGCTGTCGGCTCGGCTGCATCTGAAGGCTTTAATTCTTGCATAAAGTGGTTGCGGCGGACCAAGTTGCTGATTCTGTGTTCTGAAATGCAAAAATGGGATATCCGGTTGTGTGTAATGCGTGCCGTTTTCAGGATTCGGTAAACTAGTGGTGTTTCCACGAAAAGTCGTGACATTTCAGCGAACCTGCGGACTGCCACGAAGTGACATTTCGCAGTTAACACGTCATCGTTGCAGCATAATGCAAAATTTACCGACTCCAGATAGGACGCTGTGGATGCCTTTCATGTGGTCTAAATAAAGTATGAACCCAGGCGTTTCCAGCAGAGCGCTTAGGTGGAATAAAGGCCAGCGTGGTCTGAAAGTGCTGCTGTTTTGAAACTCGCAGCTGATTGGAGCCAACGCCTGTTCGGAGGAGGAATACCCCATACCTGCTCGCATTGGATAACGATTATGGTAGCGAATCCGGACGACATGTGTAAATCGATGGCGACTGGCCTTGCCGTCTTGCAACGCGCACTAGACGGGTCAAACGGCCCCGACAAGCCAATACCGATTCTGCGGTAGGGTCGTGCAGGCATGGACTACGATATTCTATGGAAAATCAATCGACCTTGCGGAGCCGCGGCAGCTTAATGTTCTAGATCAAATACCGACAAGTAGTCCACGTGTTTATGCATTACACAGCTGTTGGTGCAGGATGAGTGACACCGTTTCAATGTTTATGCATGGTCTTCATTGATCGACTAGTGCGCCACTGTGGAACATTATACCAAAGTGACGCCTACGTGTTAACTTTTCAGTTCTTCAGGGAGCCGGAGGCGTTGGAAACCCTGCTGAACCTGCTGGATATGTACTCCCGACGGACGGCCAGCAGCAGCAACAACAACGGCACGGTCAGCTCGGAGGCAGGGGAGGCCGGCGACTCGGCCGCCAACGACCCCGGCGCGCTCAGCGGCACGCCAGAGGACGTCATTGTCAAGGTAAGGGGTCCGGCGACCTCAGAGATACACCAGAGGACGTTGTGGTCCACGCAATGGATTCGTCGTCTTGCATTGTACTAGTTTTTAGTGAAATGTTGCAAAACCTAACTCCCTGGAGCGTGCTAACAAACCCACCGGTCACCGTGAATGTTATGTCTTTCGGACACTAGCTGTTTGTCCATTCGTATGAGGTTTGTAACGGTAACGAAAACGGTAGCAGTGACAGCAAGGGTGACGTGTTGCAGTTGATCCGTGTGGTGGCCAACATGGTCATCAACCAGGAGGTGGGCTCCGAGGTGTCCTCGTCCCCGGCCTGCCTCAAGGTGTTGCTTGGCGTGCTGCGAACCCACAGGTCAGTCGGCGGGGCGTACTGCGAACCCACGGGTCAGTCGGCAGGGGGCTGGGCTGAGGGATACGGCAGTGTGGTTCTCTCCCCAAAGCATGCTAGAAAATAAGCATCGGGTATGATGAATGTATGCGGCATATGGAGTTGTCAGCGGATAACGCATAAACTGAATCTGGTTTTATCCTTAGAGATGTGAGAGATTTCTTATGGCAAGCAAGACCTTGGAGACTGTTGTTTGATAAATACTCCTTTTTTCCCCTCCCGGACAGCTTCCATAGCATAACTCGATTTTACCACAGCTGACCTCAGGCTCACCGTGCAACTGACCCGGTCCGGTCCCATATTTTACTCAGACTGGTCCCACACCTAGCCCCGGATGACGGATCGTTCCACTCTGTTTCAGCGTCGAGGAGCATGAGGAGCTCGTGCTGTCCTCTCTGTCTATGCTCAACAACCTGACCTTCTATGCCAGCGAGGAGAGCGTCGTTTTCGAACGTCAGGCGGAGGTAACGCACTGTAAGTATGCCCGATAAAAACGCACTTTCTTGATTGTGTGTACTCAGGACAAAACACTTTCCTTTTAGCATTGGCAGCCCATTGTAAAAACTAGTATGTGTCATGTAATGACGAAACGAACGACCTATTGCTATTCCCTGTTGTTGCGAGACTCATAATTTATAGATCGGATATGTGCATTGTGCACCACAAACTGGTGACCATACACAATCCCGATAACAGCCTTTCCACTGCCAATGCGCTTCGAACATTGTATTTCCCAAAACGCGTGTCTTGTAAGGAGTCAGAGCGGCCGGCTGGCCTCAGTCGATACCACAGTATTCGCTGACCGCCGCCACGTCTGCCCGGGAACGGCATCCGTGCAAACTTGATCAGGTGCTATCGGAAATCAATGACCGGCGCAGTGGGGACGCATAAACAGCTCATCGACTGACCGGCCAGCGCTGTAGCAGGGACAGATGGATCAGATTGAACTCATAAAGTAGCGCTGTGCCATATGGGCAGACATATCCGGTACCATAGGATTACGAGGACCATGGGACTCGAAATGGTGATTGTTCCAGCAGCCCAGCAGGCGGTAACAGAGCTCTTTCGTTATGCTTCCCATGAGATCAACTACTGATGAGTGAGCACTTACCCCCCTGTGCTATGATGGTTTTCTAATCTAACTACACTTCACGTTTGCGTCCGACAGGTTTGTGCTCGATGCTCCGGAAGGAACACACCGAATGTCAGATCGAGGTTCTGCGGGTGTTCGGGAACCTGACCCGGTGGCCGGCCGTCCGCGAGGCACTCGCTGACCGAGAAGGTACGAGTCTACGGGTCCCCGGGGCACACACGCATGGGACTCGCGTTGTTAGCTAGACATTGGTATACATCACACAATACACAAACTATATCACAGCAGCTGGACGGATTGCATGATTTCACGTATAAACGTGGACGTTTGTCACCTATGTACCTACATCTTTAGTTGCGTGCATGCCTAACCGACAACCGTAAATACCTATAGGGCGACATTTTGTGTTTTCAAACGCAACACATTCATGATAGTGGATTCATGCATGCTGATTTTTAGATACAACGTACAACACGCAGCGTACAACATTCATATTCCTTTATCAGCAGGTAATCGATTCGTACCTATGCAGTTTAAAACAACGCCCATTATGTAATCTTGGACATTTTAGGTCACAATGGCGCCATTTTGTACGCATTTCGCCGTTAGTCACTGCCATGTGGATGTTAAGCTGTAGTAATGTGAGGGTACGCACCAGAGTATATAGAAAGTATGTAGCTCCGCACACCCCGCTCGACTGGTCTCTGAGGCCGACACCGGCCGCTCGGTGACGCTGTGACCCCAGACGTGTCTGGTGATGCACCAGTGGTGTCGCGGCTGGTGACGCTGCTCGACTCGGACAACCGGGAGCTGGTCTACACCACCGTCGGCGTGCTCATCAACCTGATGACCGACCCGGGCAAGAGGAGCGACTTCAACAGCTTCGGAGGCATCGACAAGTGAGTATAGGAGCTGGAGGACGGGTGGGGTTTTACTTTATCGCGATGAGTTCGTTCTTTTCGTGGTCTGCGAATATGTAAAATTGATCAATAGGTGCTGGCTTCATTTGCAGCTTATCTGGAACGACGGACGTCTCTGTGCTTGAGCTAATTAATTTCAGTTTACATCTAAAATTCTTGTTCAGGAAGCAACGAACATTGGTCAATAATGAATGTCGTGTTTTAGCTTATTTATTTATATTTCAATCCATTATTCTGCTTGATTTTATTTATAAGTCATTCTTACTTCCGCTTTAGGTGCACTGTCATGCCTCAACAACGTTGCAAAATAAAGCGCAGTAATGACCATTATATAACCGAGACGTTCGTCGTGGTTTGGGGTGCTTCCAATTCGCCACTTACTTCATTCAGCATAATTTGTTTTCGGGTTCTTAATATCATTCAGCTTTCAGACATTTCTTCACGATCAGTCAAAATCTCGGTAACATCTTTCATGCTAAGGTACAAATATGAGATAGACTCAGGACACGCATTTTAGCCGCTTTTTACTTTGTGCCTCTTATTTAGGGGCGAGAAATGAAGGCTCATCGTACTTTTCCCATTAGATGCTGGGTGATCACACTACCACCCAACTCGCGGTCCACACAGCTCCCTGACCTCCCCTCCCCCCTCCGGCAGGCTGATCCTGGTGCTGGAGGACTTTGGCTACAGCGACTGGCAGCTGGCGGCGCTGGTCTGCAAGGTACTCTGGAACCTGGCCGCCGACACGGACGACGTCGGCCAAGTGTTCTCCGACCAGCAGGCCGACCAGCTGGCCGTCGTACTCGACGAGTATCTCGGTACGGGAGGAGGAGGCACGGGGGTGTGTCGGTTTTATATGTGGGGGACGGGTTTATATTTACCTAGGTTGGACGGATCTTGTACCTGTTGCGTATTTGATTTCCTCGGCTCGTTCGAAAGACACGCACGGCTTTATGTGTGACTCAACAGTTTCAAACTGTAGTTGACCCCCATTTGACCCGCATCTGACTTGTGCTTACCGCTCTCCTTACCTTATCCCCCGCAGACGATGAAGTACTGTTCACAAAGTCGGGTCTGACGGCTCTTTTCCCCCGCAGATGACGAGGTGCTGTTCCCGGAGTCGGGCCTGACGGCTCCTGACCCACCACCCCTTTCCCCCTCAGACGACGAGGTGCTGTTCCCGGAGACGGGCCTGACGGCTCCTGACCCACCCTTTTCCCCTGCAGACGACGAGGTGCTGTTCCTGGAGTCGGGCCTGACGGTTCCTGACCCACCCCTTTCCCCCCGCAGACGACGAGGTGCTGTTCCCGGAGTCGGGTCTGACGGCCGAGGAACAGCAGATTGCCGCCATGTTGCGCCCCCTCTGGGAGGAGTTTGCTGACGTGGCCGCCAGTCTGCTGGAGAAGCTGGACGACTCGCTGGAGTCTGTCGCCTCGGCCGCCGCCGCCACTGTGCCCTCGGAAAGCTCCAAGACTGCCTAGACGGAGCCAGAGGACGCTACCTGCGTCCGGGCGGTGTGCTCATTGAGAGGCTTAGAGGGGTACGGACGGCTGTGTGCTGTGTGTGCCGGAAAGTTGTGATGTGTTTGGGAGAATGTTGAGAGGAATGCTGCCAGTGCTGCCAGGGATTTGTTGCCCCTGCGCGAGTGTGCTATCCGCATTGAATGGTCTGAGTCTAGACCGGCGCTTGGCTGGTGGGTGTGGTTGGGTTAGAGGTCTGATGGTAGGGCAGCTTTCTGCCCGACTCTCAGTCATATTATGGGTGATATTATGATAGCTCGATTTCGTTACAGGCTGGTGTTAAGGACTAGGATGGACATCAGCCATGTATCATACTCTGTACATAATCTGTGCGGTGTTTACCCTGAGATCTCCTGATGCCGGTCTCATTTTAACTATCCCGGATAATCTCGGAGCCCCGTCCGGTGACCGCTGTCGTATCTCACTAGGGTCAGAGGCGATACCGTAGCCATGTCACTCGGCGGGCTGCCGGGGTACACTGTGGCCAGAGGACGGCGCAAGTCGGGACGTCGAGGGACGGGTGCCAGGCCGGTGCGGTGTAGCACGCTACATCTTGAACATTTAACGTAGTATCTTTTCGGCACGGCTCGGTCCGGCAGTCCCTCTCCCTCGCAGTCCGGCCACACGCCTAGCTCGCTTTCCCACACCCAATTCCCCCCCCCCCCAGTTCCCCTAATCTATCACTGTCCGCACAGAATGGGCAGCCGTTAAACTCCCATTAAGACGCGCGCTTTTGGAGACAGCTACCGCAGGATGAACGATTCGAACCCCAACAAGTAACAGCTGGATCAGTAACATTGTCAACAGCTCATGGACCCACGCCGAGGACAGATAACGGCTGGGAGCGCTGGATCAGTAAGATATGTCAACAGATCATGGAGCAGTGTCAAGGATGGATGCCGGCTGGAGCACACAGCCTCCTTTGTCGGGTACATCAGCCCAGGGTGAGTGACCCTGGCAAAACAACCGGGTGACCGACCTCACAATGGCCTCATGAGGTAGTTCCAGAGATCTCCGCAGAGGAAGAAGGCGCTGACTTACGGCCACACCCGGGCCAGTGGGCGGAGCAAGAGTGACGTCACAAGGGGCGTTGCCGGCAGACGAAACGGAAGGAAACAAAAGTTTGAATAAAATGAAATTGAAGAATCAAAATTAAAACTCGAAAATCACAAACCTTTCGGGGATTGTTTTATGCCAGCGATTACTAAAATGATAAAGCACTCAACACGAAGACGATTCGACGGCCAAAAATTGCAGGCACAGAGGAGCAAGGTGACTAAACAGGACAGAGGGCGCCATCTTACGGCCCCACCCACCAGAAGAAGGCAGAGGAAGATGACGTCGCAAGGGCGTGGCAGTCACCCCTCCCCCCCCAACTATAAAAGGGTGCGCCACCCAACCAGAGGAGAATCACAGTCGAGCAGCCGAGAGTCACAGTCCACAGCTGGAGCCGGAGACGCCATCTGGGAGCCGCCGTCAGTCCGGGTCACCCGCGAGAAGCCTCTTCAGTTCGAGTGACCAGAGCCGGAGGACAACCGCCGACGCTTGAGACCACACTGAGAAGCGGAAGCGCAGAGAACTCCAGAATGTGAGTGTTGTTGAAAAGTCTGCTCAATCCCAATCCTTGCCCCCCCCCCCCTCTGCCCAGCGTGCCGTGCCCGTGACGACTGCCAAACATTTTCGGTTACCATAAAATGCACTCTCAATTGGAATTGGAAAACTTAAATTACTTTGAACTTATTGGTCCAGACACCCTAGTAGCATGTTAGGATCTGAATTTCGAGGTCATGTCAGAGTCGCCAGCAAACCGTTATTGTCAGTGGGAGTTCACGATTAGGCCAAGAGCGAGATCCGAAAATTTACATAAGTAGCTCAGTGTCACGAACGCTGAAATTGATGACAGGATGCGTGACAACGTTGAAATGTCTTTGTCTTCGGTCAAGATGGTTCGTTCGATTTATTATGGGCGATGGCCAGGTGCGTTTTGAGGTTGGAACGTTTGTGAAATAAAGGGTTTAGATTCGTGCTGTACTCACTAAAAGTTGCATTGCGAAATCATTGGTAATATTGCTGTAATCTAAAATGGAAGCTAAAATGGAAGTCGAAATCAATTATAGAACAGGTAAATACGTTTGAAAGGAATGTAATGTTTTAAGGTGGCGACTGATTCATGCGATCGATCTATGAATATGGCTATGAATTATGATTTGCGACAGATACGAATGCTTGAGCGTACGGCGGAATTTTTCCTGTTACTTAGGTGCATAGTTGCGAGCAGTGGTTTGAGGTTGACGGTTTGACACTTTGCGACTTTAGATGGTCACTTTGCGTCATTGAAATTGCGAAATGTCGAGTAACAGGTAGATGTAGAAATGTTTGTGGTTAGAACTAATAAGTAATATGCGACTAATATAGGTACCGATCGTTGTGCTTTGTAGAATAAATACTAGAAAGGACCAGCTTTGTTGGGAAACGATCAAATGGGACAGGAGTAAAAAAAAAAAAAACTTACGTGGAATGGAGCTGATGAGATGTCGAACAGGGAGATATCGAAGCGATATTTTACCAGATTCACACTCACTGACACAGCCGTTGAATCTCCCGGCCCGAAGAGACCGCACACACCAGTACTGCACCGCGAGTGATGACGCGCCCATCGCGGCGCGGCCTTGACAACTGTCGACTGTCGACGCGGCGCCGGCCGGCGGCCGTCGTAATCGTCGTTCCCGACACGGGCGTTGAGCCGCCAGAGGGCGCGAGAAGCAGCCACAACAGGGGCAGTGGGTTAGCCGTAATTGGGGCGCGGGCGGTAGGTGAAGGTCACGTATAGGAGTCTGGTTAGTTGCGGAAAGTTGCAACGGGATAAGAACGTAGACAGTTAAATATGATATGCTATATGATATCTAGGACTGCACTTCGTTTGATGCGCATTGTTTACTGCTAATAGGATGATTTAAATTAGATTCCCTATGAAAGGCTAGGGACCCTATGACAATATTCTGGCACTCTATAAAGATAATTTGTTTAGGTAACTAGTAGCCCATCAGAAGCTATCGAACGAGTTTCAAGGAGGCATTTCCGTTTGAGCATTCAGTAATTCACTATGGTACGGTGGATCACAACCAGACGGCAGATCGATGCGTGTTAATTGGTTCTAGATCATATGTCTGATTAAATCAAGAGCGGTTCAAGGTCTGCTAGGATTGTATACGAGAACTGATGATAAGGTTCACGCGTGTAGCAGCAATTAGGACTTGAGATTACGATTAGATTTGGTTAAATTATGCGTTTCTGCTATTCGCGTTCTTGCGAGTTAGCGCCAATAATTACTCCAACAATATTGGCACAGGGCATTGTGAGGCACAGACGGCTTGTTTGCCCGCCTCCTATGGCGTAACGTTTACCAGCATGACTGTATGAGACACAGATGCACTTCTCGAAACCCACGTCCAGACCGGAATAATAAGAGGGACACACCGTCACGTACGCAGGGCATATGCACGTTTTCCGCCAGTGGTACCGGCCACTGTTAATTTTCCCGCTTAGGTAACACTGGGTGAGAAGGCAGTGAGAGGTTTCTACGGCAGGGGGGAAGGGGAAGATTGGCACAGTATGCAGTGGAGAGTAAGTTATGCCAAAGGCAAGAAGCCGAAGGTCAGGGGTGAGTCACCCAAAGGGCGGATAAGGCGAGCCGTAGTGTCCCGGATAAGTCCTCATACTTATTTCGTAAAGGTACTCTAATCGGTACTGGACAGCCTCAGGGGAGGGAAGAATGTACTCCAGGACACGTAAGGCCTTGAATAGTAAATCCCATGGTTAAGGATAGTTCCAGGATATGAACTAGGGTCCCTGGGTCGTGAACGGGAATGTTACACGCGGACCGGAAGAGGGCATAGGTAATCTCTCCCGGTAGAGAGATAAGTCGGATATAAATCGTGTATGTGTGTACCATAAGTCTATCGGTCGTGTAGTGAATCCCATAAATTAGTAGGGTGGATATTTATGCAATTATTCTGGACGGCCCTGCGGTAAGTATCTTTGTCGCCGGTTAGCGGAGCATGCATATGAATTTCGGAAAGAGACATTTATCTCGCCGGGGAGATCGCTATTAGTCAGGCACCTAACGCCATCGGAGGGAATTCGAGGGGCGCTAAATAAATTTGGGGTGAATATATGACGAACGAACGTAGAGAGAGGATGAGAGTGAGAATGGTAAAGGATGAATCTTAGGATAAGGCCGATGGGAGTTTAGCGAAGCTCAGTTAGGACAGTCAAACTAATTAATCTCGAGGGCAACTTAAAACTAGCAACGCTAATACGAATTAAGTGGGCAATTTTCTTAATGGGAAGGCCAGTGATATAGGAATGGGTGACTGGACGAATGATCACATTCAATTTATCAATGTAATTACCACCCATATGTTTGGCAGTGGTCATCGGGACTTCGAATGCCCTGTCCTTCACCTGCCCAACTGTGCCGCAAACCCAGCTGATCGGATACCTCTATCCCTAATCCGAGCAGTGAAGAAGCATCTCGTGCATCATGGTCTATACAATGAACAGAATCATCAAGCCTCTAAATTAAAAAGCATCTTCCATCAGATGTATTTGTATGCAAGGTGGATCTCTAGACATCTCCCTCAGGTGGATCTCAACACCATCTCAAGATCTCTATCAGGTGGATCTATATCTACATCTATCTCAGGATCTCATCACTATCTGGATCTCTCTCTAGATCTATCTCGGGATCTTTTCCAAGACTCTCAAGCTCCCCTGTTCTACCAGTTCAACTATCGAGTTCATTCCAGCAGCAAATAGCTCTGTTCCTCTACAACCAGCTGAACGACAGTGGACCGCGGTGCTGGATCAACCGCAAAGAAGGCGTTTGATTACCCGCAAGGAAGCAGTTATTATCCTCTCTTTCTTCTTCTTTTCTAAATCCCCTCGCTACAAATGGCGCCCAACGTGGGGCTTTGATAATTCTCAAATTGTGAAGCTGGTAGACTGGCACAAGCCGCCGAACCCGAAGTTGATGAATTGAAAGTCAACCGTATGGAGAAGAGGAAGAAGTTGAAGAATAGAGCAGGTGTTCGAAATACCGGCAGCAGTGGAAATGAGCGTGCTGCAGGGGTCGATATGAAGAAAGAGGATGAGCTAAAGAAAGCTGTGTGAAGATGATGAAGCTTATGATGGTGGCTGATGACAGGGAAGTTGAAGAATTGAGCAGGTGTTCGAAATACTGACAGCAGTGGAAATAAACGTGCTGCAGGGG